TCTGGTGCATTCTCATCACTGAGCAACCATCACCGCCATCCACCTCCAGAGCTCCTTGTGACATTCCTGTCATCATCGCTGATGGGAGGCAGACACAACATTGCCAATTTGGTTTCTCTTGATAAACACTGAGTTATAATTCATAAAATTATACGACTTAAAGGGGTACATCTTGGTATATGTTAATCATGCATGAATAAAACTTACCAAAAAAGACAAAGAAACGGGAAATGCAGCTGCTGACAATGAGGGGCAGGTGTGTGAGAGGGAGACGGGGATGTTGGGAGAGATTGGGGGATCTGTGGACAGTCTGAAAACAGGCATGCACTCTCCACTCATTCACTGTCAACATCTTGAGCACCTCTGTTCCAGATGTTTCAGAAAGTGTATTTTGGCTGCATTAGAGATGGCTGAAAAAGTGCCATGAGTGGCTTTTGTAAACTTAAAAAGCTCTAAATTAAGGCAGCAGCACAGAGGATGGAGGCAAAGGTTGCACAGAGTTTTGCTCTTGCCTATAAACACAGCCAGCGTGAAAACACAGAGTCCATTGTTTTATTCTTTTTTAAATCACTTAAGCTAATGGCTACTTTGACCTGAATACATTTTATGTGACACATTCAACAAATGGTAAATAAAATACAACAGCAACAAAAATATCTGTTGTACAGATAAAATACATAAATGGAGCACAGGCTACACCAAGGCACTGTGATAAAGATGGACTGATCAGATCAACATCATTTTGGTGGAATGTCTATGACCTGTGCAGAGGGAGAGCTGTAATCCCACAAGACTCCTTCTCAGTGATACCAGAGATGACATGGGTGGTTATTGGTGCAGGAAGTGGGTAAACAGATGGTGAAAACCATATAGTGAAATATCACAAGCCGCATCTATATTTAGGAAGCAGGAATGATTTCAGAGAGACACTTCCAAGGGAAACATGAATTGCAGAATGTGCAATAGGATGACATTTATCTAAAAACATTTGCTTAATATCTCAGTAACTACAGAGAAAAAGATCAGGGCAGAAAATACATGAGGGAAATCCAAGGACAGTAGAGGGAAAGTCCAGTGTGTGCTCTGGGTAGCAGTGGGAACATGTCCCTTGCAGAGAAAAACCCATCTTATAGGTTAATATACCAAGTAAGTACCCTGAATAATGTCACAGGCATACAGGTTTTCCCTACAGTCTTAACTGGTAATTCAAATCATTTAATAATGATACTACTCATAATAACACCTAAGACCATGAAGTGTGTGTTTTAATGTGCCAAAACAATTTTCAGTGGTGATACTGGAGGTTCAATCCTAAGTCTTCACATTGAGCTACAAGTCTAGGCCTTTTCTATCTTTTAAATTTTAAGACAGAATCTTGCTAAGTTGCAAAATCCCCCAGGCTAGTCTCAAACCTGTGATCCTCCGGCTTGAGCACTCCAAAGTGCTGGGACTGCCTGTGTGCATCACCACACCCAACTAGAATGCATTTGTCAGTAACTAGTATTACGTGTACCAAAGAATATCTGGATGAGAACATGCTGGTCATTACAAGAGGTCTTTCCCAGACTCACAAGAAAATTAAGACAAATGAGCAATGTATTTAACTTATTTTTACTTAAGTAACTGATTATAAGGTTACCGTTAGTACATTTTTTTTTGCAAATGAGAAAATCAACTTATAAAAATTACAGATCAAACACATTAAAATTGTACAGAAGTAATACCTTCATAATTTTAAAGTTTTATTTGAAGTGTGTGCTGATGCCAGGGAAGTAATTTGGCAACAATAAGACACTGTCTGAGTCTTTGCTGTAACCATATGGGCTTAGTCAAGGGTTTTGCTTTCTTGGTTTCCAAATTAATATCTTCTAGAAATAGGAAATTGAAAATTAGGCACAGAATGGTAGAGTGTTTTTGCAATTTTTAACTTTAAAAAGAATGTTTGAAAAAGCCATTTACAGAAGTTGCTCAGTTAAAATAAAAAATTAATTTGAGACATTCCATGGCACATTCAGGGCTGAATTAATTCTAAACAGAATTTTACAGACTAAAATTATACTGTTCTCAGCCTCAGCCCACTTTAAGCTTAAAGAAAAGATGGTGTAAATGCTTCTTAGGAAGGGCCCTGAGGGGCTGTCAGGAAGTGGAAGGCATGGTCACTTCATGCTGAATGTCTTCACAAGAAGTGTAGACTATCTGTAATCTACTTCTGGAGAGGAAAACCAAATTACTATGAAAGCTTCGGAAGCCAACAGCTATAAGAGCCAAAACAATGGGCAACGTAGGACATGGTAGAAACAGGGATCCCAACAGCCCTCACACCATGATCTGTGACCCCAATAACATCTGTGCCCTTACCCCATGATCTGTGACTCTGATCGTGGATGCAGAAAACATGGCACGGAGGAAAGGGATAAATATCTTTAAGTGTCCAAAAGAATTGTTAAAATGCAAACAGGAAGAAGACAGATTACAGAGTCTACTACAAACATATACTATGTCTTTCCCAGAGCAGGTGAAGGTGAATTTCACAGCATAAGACAAGCGTATAATTATGGATCATTTTTTATTTTACCTTCAGTATACTGAAGAAAATGTCAGCCTCATCACCAAATTTCTCAAGGTCCTACTGAGTATTTTCTTCCTAAGAGATAATACTGATGTGTTTAGTATAACTAGATATCATCTCACACAAAGGATCCTCAAATTAAGGACAGGTCAGCTTTGAAAACTTTGCCTATATCCCTTTTGATCACTTATAAGAAAACTTTAAGAACCAGGGATGCGCCAAGCCTTCTAGGAGCTGTGTGTGCTACAAGAAGCACCCTCCCCACAGATGCAGCCATCCCTGGGTACACAGCTGTGCAAAGAAGCTGCCCCTTGTGCAGATGGGAAAAATGCATGGCTATTTCCAGACAAGCCCCAAGAAGCTTGAGGGATGGAGAAGCAAGAGCTATGTCTTTGCCTCATTTACACCTTTGGCTGCAGCCTTGTGCAGGGAACAACTTGTACAGCTTTGGAAATCACCCTTTTAGTACTTTAGTTACCAGACGAGTGACATGAGCCTGTTTGACCTTGATGGTTCATTAGGAAAGATGAGACACGTTGACAGAGAAGCCGTCAGTCACATTTCCATGAATAAGCCACTTGTTGTCTGAGCTGAATATCTTAAGAAACTGCTTCAGGAAATGTTGACCTCTGCCTTGATCATTATCTTTGCCAAGAGTTGATAAACCAGACATGGCAGAATAAGATATTAAAACACTATCCCTTCCTTTTCCTTCACAGAATGAATGCCTGGTTCTCTTTTGATAAATACATTTGCAAACCTACTTATCATGTTAATATCAAAGCCATACCTTAGTAGTGGGAAAATACCCCGAAGGAGAATAGCTGGGACTCCCAATTCTAGCTTTTTAAGAAATCTCCACACTGATTTCCACAGTGGTTGCACCAGTCTGCACCCTCACCAATAGTAGCCAAAGTTTCTCTTCCCTACAGCCCCTCCAGCACTTCTTATTGGTTGATTTCTTTCTTACTTTTTTTTTTTTTTTTGTCTTTTTGAGTATGGAGTATGGAGTATGGAGTCCAAACTGGCCTTGAACTCACTATGTAGCCCAGGCTGGCCTCGAACTCAAGGCAATCCTCCTGCCTCAGACTCCTGAGTGCTGGGATTACAGGCATGTGCCACCACCACACTCAGCCTCCAATTTTTTATATGTTCTAGACATAAGTCCTTTGTCTGAGGGACAGTTAGCTAAATTTTTTTATATATTTATGTATCAGACTCACATGCCTAAGTATCATATTGTCTCCTTAGTGTAAAAAACTGAGAGAGTAAATAAGATCCAAAATGTACAACAAATATTGTGAAAGTGAGAGGGAAAGAAACTGCTCAGAAAAAAAGAACAACTGAGACAGGGAAAAAGAGAAAAGACAGATGGAAAAAGACTATGTCTAGTTCACTAAAAACAAGTTTGTGCTGATTATTTTTATGCCTATATCTTGTCATCTGAACAGCTACATTGAAGATACCAATATGCAATGCATAATACATTAACCATTGTTAATCTATTATTTTATTTTGAAATTCTATATCATCATTCTTTTCATTTTAAAATTCTTTTTTAAAAGGGAAGAATGAAGCGAGCAGTAGCACTGATATCAAACATAAAGTGCTTTTTCCACATTTTCTTGCGCCCAACCCTTCTGCCCAACCCTATTTTACTTGAAGCTGCATCGCCATCTTGGAAAACTGTTGGACAAAAGAGAATGAACCCACTGCAACATGTTGAATTATCTTGTTTGTCTCTGCCCCATCACCCTGCTCACTCCCACACCTCCCCATATGAGTGCTGCAGCGGTGTCTGATATTCCAGGATCAGTGAACAAAAGCTTAGCAGAGCCCAAGAGACAGACCACAAGTAATCAGGTCCTGTGCATGTCCAAGAAGTGCCTCAGTGCTCACCGAGAAAGATAAGAGGGTTTACTGGTGGGCACTGGCCCCTGCTGGTCTCAAGCTACCCCTGGAAAAGAAGGGTGTGAGGGACAGCAACGTCCCATGCCAGTCAGGGACACAAAGCAGAAGCAGGGAAAGAGGCCCCCCGGAATCAGGAGGCAAAAGGAGACTGCAGAGCCTGGCATGGAAAGAAGGCTGTACCCTGGCACTGGTTACTGAGCATGAGGCTTGAGCCACAGAGGGTACAGCCAGGTCCCAAGGAGGCCACACGCAAGTTGAGTTTGCCTAGTGATCCATGTTTGAACAGACATAGCAGTGAGACAAAGTGAAATGCGTTCTCTTGGAATTCTTGTTCCTTAAATTTTTCTAGGAAGCATACACGAATTTCATGCAAAAATTCAAAAACCATTCAATCTGCATTGTAAATGGGTTAATAAATTTCAGGAGCAGCTTTTCACCAATTTCACATTAACAAAACCCCTCCTTCAGACAACTTTATTTAAAGATGCCCCCCTCTGGGCAAAAAGTACTTCTTCCTTACCTCAATGATGTAGAGGACCACGTTCTTATAGAAACAGTACAATATGCACTTGGTCACCCGGTTGTAGCTCCAGGCTCCATGAACCAACAGTAGCTTCTCCAAGTAGGAAAACTGAAAAAGGAAAACACAGTTCAGAACCTGTCCTTGAGGAATGAAGGCCACAAAATGTCCTCATGAGCAGCAGATGAGACAGGCAGAGAAAACCAGGGTCTCCAGGGCACCTCACAAAACCGTTCACTAAAGGGGGAGCTTTCAGGCTCCTGGAGAACAAGTGAAATCTCCTTAATCTACCCTAAAGATTACTTTCCCCCCAGGATGCTGCTAGAATTCTCATGGCAATGTTCAGGGATTCTATTGAAGTTAATGCTTTTTTAGGCTCTTAATTATTAAAAATTACAACTTGAATTAGAAGAAAAGTGTAGTGGGAGTTATATTTCTCTCCACAGTCCAGTCACAGATTTTTATGGTGACAACAGGAGCAGGGACACGTAGATACACACATAAGCACACGGATACAGAGGCACACTAACACACTCATGGACACACACACAGAGACACAGACATCAACCCACACTACACAGATATTCATGCACAGACATTCAGATTCAACACACTGCCTTCCCTTCAAAACCCATTTTGTTCTCTCTTTGCCTCTACAAGGACCCCTGCCAGAGTACATGCCACTGGTGTGCCTGACTGGCTCAAGTAGAAAGTGACACGGTGGCTCCTATAAGCTGAGACAGAGGCCAGCAATACTCTAGTTGGGGCCAGGGTCTTTGAATCATCTCTCTTCAGCCTCCCATACCCTGGCTTTGTCCTTTGTGGCCTATTCCCCTGAGGCCTAAACAGTGTGAACGGTGAGCTAGAGGGAGGGAGGGAGGGGCCAGTGAAGTTCTTTACTTCCCCACTGTGGTTTTGTAGACTGTGTCATGATCTGGTAAGAATACACTGCGAGGAGAAAGTGTGTTTAAATTCATAATCTCTGGACATCCAAATTGCCTTGCACTGGGCCGAGGCTCCCCAAGGTGCCTGCCATGCTTGCACGGTCTGTTTCTCAAGGCTTCCTGTGTTAGGTGCTCAGGACCTGCAGGCAGTGAGCCCACTGGTGGTGATGGAGTCCTTAAGCAAGCTGTGTTGGAGGGAGCTTGTTCTTAGGGAACCCTGGTTACTTCGGGCCAGAGGGGCCTGGCTCCACCCTGCTCTTCAACTTCCTGTTCCAGTTGGTCCTCCCTGCTTCTCATGAGCTCCCCCCATGATGCTATTTGCTCTCCATGTGCACTGCAGCTAGAAGGCACTCACCTGAGCTGGCTGCCCTGAGTGAAAATCTAATTCTTCCATGTAGGGTCAGAGTGTCTTGCCTCTGGGCAGTCTACAAACTCTAACCCCTTTAAGCTACCAGGAGAGACAATCAGGCCTATTTGAGAGCGTCTCAGAACACTAGAAATTCCTTTGCTATTGTGACTTTCCTATTAATTTTATGGAAAAAGTAAAATAAAGTTTCATAACAAAATAACAGGAAAATAACAATAGTTAATATGTTGCATGTTGTTATCTTCAAAGTAGTTACTCAGAGTATAAGATACAAGCAAAAAAATTCTCCAAACACTATTAGCATAAATCTTTCTTTTCAGTGAACTGAGAGAAATTAGCAGCACAACCATCTTGTATTTTTTTCCTTTTTCCTTCCTTTCTTTCCCACTTTCCCCACCCTGGTTACTCTTTCCTTTGGAACAATTTCTTCTCATTTCACAGTATCTATTCTATATTTTTGTTCTTACTTACTCTTTCAGTTTCTCACACCAGGGAAATCATATATGTTTATACATGTGAAACTGATTTATTTCACTTATGAGTATGGTCTCAAGTTGCATCCATTTAGTTACAAATGTCTCAAGTTTATCACTTTTTTTTGTGGCCAAGTAGTACTACTGTATAAAAAGATCTTCTTTTTATCTATTCTGTGGTTGATGGGCATTGGGCTGTTTCCAAGATTTAGCTATTACAAATTGTGCTGCTCTAAGTATGGATGCATATATGTTGCTGTGATATGATGTCTTTAATTCTTTCATGAAGATATTCTGAAGGGCAATAGCTGGGTTGAATGGGACTTCTAATCCTAGTTTTCTGGGGAACCTCCACATTGATTTCCAAAATGGTTGCACCAGTCTGCATTCTCATCGAGAGTGGAGAAGGGTTCCTTTTCCTCTACAGCCCCTCCAGCATTTGTTATTTAGGACTGATTTGATATTTATGGTTGATTTATGGATAGCCATTCTTTCTGGAATGAGATATAATCTCTGTGTTGTTTTAATTTGTGTCTGTCTCTTGAATGACTAGTGATGTTGACCATTTTTCCATACATTTGTCATTTGTATTTCTTCATTTCAGAAGTGTATATTCATCTCAGATGCCCATTTTTGGATTGGGTCTTTGAATTTGGGGGGAGGGGTCTGACTTTTTCCCATTTTTTATATGTTCTAGATATTAGTTCTTTGTCAGAGGGACTATTAGTTAAATTTTTTTTTGTGGGTTGTCTTTTTATTCTGTTGGTGATTTCTTTTGCTGTGCGAAAGCTTTTTAATAAGATGAAGTCCCAGTTTTTGATCTTTGTAGTTATTTCCCATGTAGCAGAGTTTTGTTTATGAAATTTATGTACGCGTATGTCTTTTTTTTTTTTTTTTTTTTGGTACCAGGGATCGAATTCACAACCTAGTGCTTGTCAGACAGGCACTTAGGCCACTGAGCCAAATCCCCAGCCCCATACCTATGTCTTCACGATGTTTATCTTTTTTTCTTTCCCAACAGATTTAGTGTTTTTGTTTCGTGTTTAGACCTTTGATCCATTTGATTTTAGTTTAATGCATGGTCATAACATGGGTCTAATTTTAGTGTTTGGCTTTTAGATAACTTTTGAAATTAAATTTAACTATCTGTAGAAAAGAGCCTGAGTGAAAACAAAATACTTTTAAAAATTTCAAGAAGAAACTTCACACAGGTCACCATCAGAACTAAAGGAGACTGATCACTAGGAGAAGTCACTCTTTAGTGAGCTCTTGCAGAAGACAGGGGAAGACCACGCCTCTCACCCGTGTACTTCAGAACTGAAGAGACAACTTCAAAGTGGCAGAAGGAGGTGCATATGGAAAAATAAAACTTCCCATAAAGGCTCATTAAGGATTCCAAAGGGAAATGAGGAAATCATAAAATAACTAGCTAAACAAATAAAAAGGAAGTCTGCATTTGACCTGGACCCCCCGGTGTTAAATTTCAATGGGCACGAGAACATCTGCTCCAGTCATCCTGCAGACCTCAACCTAGTGTTACGATGATTTGTTTCCAGGAAAAAACGACATATATATATCCTAAATCAAACCGCTGTCTTCATGAGGTCATTCGAAAGACATTAGGAAGGCAGGGGGCAGGGATGATTCTCTCTGGAGGAGAACAAGAAGCTAAGGCTGGGGGCACAGCATTACACCCACAGCAGCCAAGGCCGCCCGACTGGCAGCCACACAGAGGAGGCTCTCGGTCCCCAGTGCAGAAAAGCATATGGCAAGCGGGAGAGAAAACAGAGCCACAGCTCTATAGGCTTCACAGCTCTCCCAGGGCAAATCTTTATTTTTTTGTCTGCCATATCTCGCTTTACAGGGTAGTCTTCAAAAACCCAATACAAATGTACTTGCCCACATGCAAAAGAACAGATAAAGCGTACAATGTTAACTTTAGCCAGGGATGTTCATCGTTTCAGTAGGGCGAGGGGGTTCCACTGATTGTGGCACTTCGGGTGGAGTAAGGAAGCCACAAGCAGCACCATTGTAGGTACAACAGTGGTAACAAACATCCCTGAGACAACAGCATCCTCTCCCAGTCACAAACAGGACCAGGGACAGCAGAAACAAGGACCACACAAACCGGTAGCCACATTCCTTCTTTTAGCAGAGGAGACAGTTACCCAAAGGGGCAAGGACAGCCCAAATGGAGTTCCCAAGCCTTGCCCCATGGTCTACCCTTCTGGGACACTTTCGGTTTGAGGAGCAGAATCACTGCAGGTCCCGTGACCTATTAGTATGCAGTTTCCATAAAGCCAGTCATGGGATCTCCCTTCCCTGGACATTGTAAACAAAAAAACCAGACAAATATTTGCCTGGAACTCCTAAGAAACCTCTTAAGATCCTTTCCAGCCATATGACATTATAACTCAAGTATTTAATAATGCTGGGATGTATAACATGCATAGCTGCTGACAGCATACAGGAAGTGCATGTCGCACAGGTCTCGGAGCAGCTGATCCAGGAAGGGAAGAGGGCAGGTGTGCAGGATAGCCTACGGCTGGCCTTTCTCTGACCACGGCTGCACTCGGGCCTGAGGAAGGTTACCTGATATAAAGGAATCTTGGTTTTCCCAACAAGAAAGACAGAATTCTTTCTCTTATGTATTTCAGAAATTCTCTTTAAGATTTATTTGAAATCAACAAAGGAATAAGATTGGTTTTGTGCATTTTTCCAAGTCATGTGGGTTTTTTTAATTCCTCCCTGGGGCTGCAGAACATGGAGCTAAGAGGGAACTTGAGAGGAGATGTAACACAGAGCCCTCTTTGGGGAGGCAGAGCTATGAACCTGCAGAGGACCATCCCACCAGCCCTGAGGCTTCAGGAAGTTTGTTCGCATCCCAGATGCAGACAGTGCTTTCTGCCTGACTGTGTGCATGTGATTAAGATGAAAACACTCTTAAAACCTTAAGCCCAGAAATAGGTGGATGTCTTGTAGCCAGTAGGGTACAGGTAGAGTCACAAGGCACTGTAATCTGAAGACAGGAGACAGGAATGTCTAGGGATCTGAATGACCCAGCAACCCAGGTTATCCAGCTATAAAGCTTTGGGGTCAGGAGTCTGGCTCTTATCCTTCGCCTCTGAGCTGTCATTACGGAATGGGCAAGTGTTTCATCCTCAGGCCACCTGTGCAATAACCACAAAGTGCACCAGCTTTGTACACAGCTCAGTTTGCATAAGAATGGAATAAGCTCAGCCTGACAGCAGGGGTTTGTTGGCTACTGACCATGAGGTCACGACGGCCTGACCCTGGCTTATGGGCACAGCAAGTCACCTCACTACAGCAATGGTCCTGGGTAGTGCACCAGTCACAGCTATGGAATGGAGCCGTGTATTACTGCTTTTTCCTGACTTAAATACCTGACAAGTATATGCCAGCACCCTCGGGAAGAAAGGAGGTGTCAGGAGGTGATGGTAAGAGAACAGCTGTCAATAGCACAGCTATTCTGCAGCAGGGAACACATATGAGAAGCCTGGGCAGCAAAAGGAGTGGAGGGTGAAAGGAAGTGCTCAGAGGATCAGGGACCTTTTTGCCAGCAAAGCACAAAGCCTAGGAGATAGGGAAGCGGAACAGTCCAGGGCTGACCAGGAGAAATGAACCCAGCAGGATGAGGCCTGTAGACTGCAGATGATCAAAGAGACATGGAAATCTAACTGCTCCAGCAATTTCATCTGGATAGTGATCTCAGCAAAGTAGCAAAGTCCTTGGAGCGGGACTGTGGGTTAAGCCCCAGGCCTGCATGCCTGGTTATCATTGCTGTCAACAAGAGCAGACAGCCGGTCGTCCACACAACTGACCTGTGCAATGGCATAATCCGAGTTGTTGGTGGCTTGCATGCCTTCATTGCCACTGATCCCCACTCCCACGTGAGCAGTCTGGATCATCCCGACGTCATTGGCACCGTCCCCAATGGCAAGAGTAATAGCCTTCACCCGCTTCTTCACTACGTCCACTATCTCAGACTTCTGCAGAGGAGACACTCTGTGGGACGAGAAAGAAGTGAGGGTGACATGTGCCTTCCAAGAAGAGACAGCTGTAGTCAACACTCAGTTGTTATGACCGCAGCTGTTGGTCAATTTCCAGATCTAAAACAAATTTTTATGCTCGTGTGTAAAGAAGCTTCTAGAAAAGAGCAGCTGTGGCTTTCAAGTGTTAGCCAACTTCACACATGAAATACACAACTCAAACTAACTGCAAGCACAGGCTACATGCAATTGCCTGGCTTGGTGGGAGCATTCGAGCAAACCTTTCGGGGGGGCATGTGCCCTACAGAACCATAAAGTTGGTTAAGATAGTTTCAGAGACCTTCAGAAATGTCTTCCCACTAAGTCAGAAAGTTAGCAAGGCCACCATCTGTCTTTTGTTATGCATCATATACAACTAGGGCAGGCAAATAAGCCTGTGTCAAATCTGCTTTACAGAAGGAAAGAAAATTGGTGAAACTTGAGAAAGGACAACAATAGGGACAGATAAAGAGGAAACAGGAAAGATGTGTTCATCTCCACCCAGAAGGAGAGAGGTGTTTGAAGAGCAACCAGGGGAAAGGATTTAGGGCCAGGAGCTACAGTGTACGTCTCGCATAGCTGGACTGTGCAGAAGCAAAGCCCAACAGGGGAAAAGAAAAGTAGCCCGTATCTAGGGGGGCTGTCTCCCCCTTAGACTGACTGCGGCAGTGTGATTTTCACGATTCCTCCAGCTACTTGAGAAGAAGGCCTAGAAGGCCTAATCTGGGGATTTAAAGTGCACCAATATTAATTAGAATGGAGTGTTTAGTCAGGTATGAAACCAGACTATCCAACAGTGTGGAAAATGGCTAGTGTCCCAGGACTCATTCATTTTAAATTCATTTTAAATTTGAATTGGTACACTGAAAGCTGATTTGGGAAATTTGCAAGTGAACTCCTACATCAGTTACACACACACAGGAGGCGTAAGAACAACAACAAAAGAACTTTTTCCAGTTTCCTAGGGGTATGCAGGCTGCACATGAATGCAGACTGTAAACGAGAACGTACAACGACTCATCCAGAGAGAACCAGGAGGCTTCAGACAGCCTCCACCCACGAAGATTCCATTCCCAACAGAAAACTGCAGTACCAGTCTGGAAAGAAATGTGGTGACGTGCTAGGCTAAATGCAGCACCGATTTTGCTAAACTCAGTGACAAAGATACAGAATTTAGAAAAGTAACCTTAAGAGTTTAAAGAAATTTAAAAAGGTTATTATGCTACCCAGCAGTGCCTTTATCCATTTCATACATTGGTAACAGGAGGCATTTAGTGTCACCTGGAGTAGGCAGGCCACTAAAAGTTATTACTTTCTCCTTGGCTATTATCAAACATAACTGAAAGTGCCAATTCTACCCTTCGGGCTAGACTAGGATAATATCATCCTTTCTTCTGAATATGTGGAAGGCTTAACTATAAAGACATCTAGCACATTCTTCTTTTTAAAGCTCAGTTTTTACTAACTAAATACCCCTATGTTTCTTCAACAATTATTTGATAGGCACATTTCAGAAATTAAAAAGGGCTATAAGCAAAACAGAGGACCTCAGACCGGCTTTCATGTACACTAATATGAAGTCCTAGAAAGCGCTACTGTTTATCCCAGCCACCAGTCACACAAGCTTTTTAACAGGGGATATGAAGCACAATCTCTTCCCTCCGAGTCTGTGCAGCTGTCACCTGAAGCCAAGGGATGGTCTTTTGGCAAAGATGGTACACACTTCTCATTCCATTTTTAATTCAGGGATCAAATATGCTGGGCAGAAAACAACCCAGGAATCAAAATTAAATAGCTGAGTGTGACTTTTCCTGGGCCCATCTAAGCATGCAAGTGGGGAAGAAACCCTGAGTCTCTTCCTTAATGGAATGAGGGAAATGAGACCCACCTACCTCGTGAGCTGGTCTTGGTATATCAATGTGAAATCATGATGTTAACTATCAGGGTGAAACCACAGTCACCTCCCACTCCACTGAGCACGGCGCTACCTCGAAATCTTTGTTGCTGAATTAAAAATGGACTGCTGAGAATTTCATGGCATCTGTCTCAAGAGTTCCACACCTGCACATGTGCGTGCGTGTGTGTGTGTGTGTGTGTGTGTGTGTGTGTGTGTGTGGTTACCTCAGGCACGCTGCAGCAGGAAATCTTAAATATTAAAGGAAATATAGCAGTGTAGTATATCTTGGATAATAGTGCCAAATACTAGCTGGAAGTAGATGAAAATTTTAATGTTGAGTCATGCTATAGTTCTTTTCATGATACATCTTCATTAAAATGAGTCATGGTTGCAGTGATAAGAAGCAAATACTTAGCAAAAGTCCGTGTGGAACAGGGAATGAGCCAGTGGCACTGTATGCTACTCTAAGTATGAGTTATTGGGTAGTATTCAGGCCCACCCCAACGCACCACTGGAAAGTGGTGTAGTTATTTAAGAATGAAGGAAATTAATACTTGTTCTTTTAATGAGCTATTGTCTCAAACGTCTACTAGGTTGTTAGGCTATAAATACTTAAATTATTTGGCCTTTCCTGCTTCAGAGTTTGAAGAGTTTTATTTGGCCTAGGAATCTTAGGAATTATGGGGTCACTAAGGACAGTAGTATAGGTAGAGCTGCAAGCCTCTAAGGAACCACTTCTCTCCACGATGACATCAATCACCCTTTAAGCATGATCATTCCCTCAGTCAGGTGGACTTCTCCTGAGGAGGCCATCATGAACTTTCAACTTTGTTCTGCCCTTGAGAAGACAACACAACTGCATAGGGAACAGAAACTTACACCACTCTGTGAAGCACTGTGCTACAACTTCTCAATGTATGTATCACCAAATCAAGCATTCAGGTCTTTTCCTGGCAACCCGGGGCTGATTTGGAGAGACAGGATGCCCAGAGGGAAGGAAACTTGGCACTTCACACAGGAGGGGGCTGAAACAACCTAGGAGGAGGAGCAGGGCAGAAACTACACAGGTAAGAACGCTCCTTAAAGTAGTTGTTGGTTTTCATTAGAGGGTGCTGTCTCTTGGATATGACATGTCCCACACAAGCCCATATGTTAATGGCTCAGAGACCAGCATAGAGCTATTTTAAAGTGGTAGGGCCTTGAAAAGGTCTTCAGCTTTTAAGAGGTCATTGGGGGTCTGTTCTCCAGAGATAATGGGACCCCCTTCATCTCATTTTTGCTTTCCAGGCCTGAGATGAATGGCTTTGGTCGGCTATGCACTCTGTGTTACTATGTACTGACTTGCCATAGTCTCATGTTATGGTACAATCATGGAGATGGGCTGCTAGAGTTTGTGAGCAACTCATGCTCCAATGCTGGGATTATGGGTGTGAGGTCTACACCCAAGAGGGTGTGGCCTAAATACAATATAAGGGGCAGAAAGAGTCTTTATCCCTGTGCTCCTCCTCTGGCTCTTGTTGCTTTTGCCTTTTTTACTGCCATGAATTATTGCCCTTTGCCATGTTGATTATGGACTGAAACCTCCACAAGCTGTGAGCTAAATAAACTTTTCCTTCCTTAATTTTGGGCATCTTGTACATTGTCTCAGCAATGAGAGGAAAGTATTCAAGACAACTCACAACAACATAATCAATGTACCATGGTCTGAAACTACTGAAACTGTGAGCTGAAATAAACTTTTCCTCCTAGCAAGCTGATTATCTCAAATATTTTGTTACAGTAAAAGAAAGCTGGCAAACAAGAGAGTTTAGAAGTTAAACAGATTCATTAAGCTTATTACCCCTCTGGGATCTACTTACCAAATAAACCAGTGATTCTGATAGCTGACAGTACATTCACTAAACATATAACACCTGCCTTTTCCCCAAGAGCAAAAGTAAGGGGAAAATAAAGTAAGTCATATCCCAGCATTTTAGGAGTGTGAAGTTCTCATCGAGAATTTATTATGCCCTCAGCTGTAATGCCTTGACAAAACATAATTCTAGCATACACTAAAGGTTCAAATCAGATGTTGAGTGGCTAATTTCTTCAGAACTGTGCTGCTGAGCCACATCCCCACACCCTTCGTGCTTTTTTATAATGATGCACAAACCAATTTACCTTTAAAAAGCCTGAAACATATAGTATGAAACAAAATGCTACAACATACCAGATTTTGCTGAGAATCATGCTCGTTTTCTATTTAAGATAATATTCTGCAAAAATATTATTTTAAAAAGCAAAACAGAAAAAAGGATAGAAATGTACAGAATTTAAAAAACTAGTAGGAAATTAACACTAGTTAATGTATTGTATATTGTTATCTTAGAAGTAGTTGTTCAGGTTACAAGATCTAGGGATAAAAATAATCAAACAATGACAGCACAAACTTATTTTTGATGAACTAACAAAGATTAGCAGTATAGTTATCTATCTAGCATACATTACATACATACATATGTATGTGTATTCATACATACATATAATCTTTTGCCTTTTTTTCTCTATTCCCTTATTTCAGTTGTTTCCTTTTGAGCACTTTCATTCCCTTTCTCTTTCACAATATCTATTGTACATTTGGGATCTTATTACTCTTTAAGTTTTTCATTATTTTTTACACTGAGATAATACAATATTTATAAATGTGAGTTTGATTTATTTCATTTATGAATATGGTCTCAAGTTTCCTCCATTTACCTATAAAAGCCTCAAGATTATCCTTTTTATAGCTGAGTAATATTCTATCGTATAAAAATACGATATCTTTTTTATCCATTCTGCAGCTGCTGGGCATTTTGGTTGTTTCCAAGATTTAGCTATCACAAATTGTGCTGATATAAACATGGGTGCACAAATACCACTGTGGCAAGACATTTTCAATTTTTTGGGAAAATACCCAGAAGGTGAATGGTTGGATTGAATGAGACTTACAATCTTGCAATCCTAGTTTGTTGAGGAATCTCCACATTGATTTCCACAGTGGTTGCACCAGTCTACACTCCCACCAACAGTGGAGCAGTGTTGCTTTTCCACAGCCCCAA